AAATTGATTTTCTGTAATTAGTATCCAATTTCGCAATTGAGGGAGCCATAATGTTTAAGAGATTTTCGGTATCACTGTTACTCCTTCGAAAAGCACCCAAAAAAAACTATTTAAAATGTTGTCCAGATAAAATAAGCGATCTATAGCCTTAAGGCTTCTCGATCGCTTATTTTCTAATTATATCTAATTATTTTATTAAATTATTTTATCTAAAATGATCGCATCCAGAGTCTTCTGCGTTTGCGTTTCCTAATAATTACACGAGCAAGAACACACTGGCGTACAATGACGCGTCCTCTTCTGAATACATTTTGAAAGATACTGTTGATGAGCCCACAACCACATCGATTAATTGTCGATCGATGATTGAACAACGTTCTATCGACCAGTACCAGTTGATCAGTTAAAGCTACCACACCAATCGATTGCCGTAGATCAATGGTATCGATCGATGATCGATTGATGTGGTCACACCCTAAGCCTCAAAATAGCATTACTGACTCAACTAAAATTAAATACCGGAACGCCTAGGAGAAAATATATTTAAATGAAAAACAGGTTAAAAAAAAACAAAAACAGGCCATATTTTTTAATCACAACTATCAACTTAATATATTAATTGATCTTAAAACCGATTTCGTTAAGTTTTTGTTGAGGTGAAATTGAAGTTAACACGGATCTACTTATAACTAGATCTATAATTATTTTAAAAACGGACGGTAAAATTTGTAAATTGCTATTTTGCGAAAATTATATATTTTATACAACTATTCTAAATTTAATGTAATTTGCTCAACATATCACTACTAACAGACTCGCAATATATTCTTTTCTTCTCCTTCATTAACACCCTTTCTTAATTCACTGCTGATGGAACGTCAATATGGTAAATCTTTATACTTCTATATTTTACGTAGTAGAGCCAAGCTGCTGCTATGCTACTCGTAGCTAGCTATAATAGCTGCGGTATGAATGGGTCGGCTCAACCAGACTTGGACCACGCTTTTTTTGCTCGTGTTGTATTTCGTATGGTGAGTGTAAACAACCACGCACCCTTTTTAATGGAAACAAGGCATCCATCGTAGTCCGCAATGGTAACGTATCTGATTTTTAATTCTTAAACCATAATACATGTAGATGTCCACCCAGATGTCTATGGACCAGCCCTCTTAATATCAGGTGGACTGTGTATTCTATATAAAAAAAAACTCCTATATATATATATCCTATATATTCAAAGATGCAAATGACACGTGTTTTAAATTGATAGATGTGGTGTGAAGAGGGATGTAACAACTTTTTCTCAAACTTAAACATTTCATAACGAGGCTCTGGCGACAGAAAAATGTCGAAATATTCATTCGAAAATATCAAAATCAAATACCTTGATGAGCATTTAAACTGATGATGAGCGACTTTACTAGTACCAGGGTATAAGCACTATACTCACCAATCCACAAGCTCAGCGTAGTGAGTTCAGGCACATAACTGAGTTCATCTCATTCATTTCATTTACAGAAAAAGAAAGAAGATTATTTTAACTTGGCGATATAATAAAATCTTTTATTTATATACTGTAGATAAATTTCTATCACAACAAAATGAATTCTGACTCAACGTTATTATCTGACTCATAGGTGATGTTACACACGACAAGTCAATGTCGTTTTCAAAAACCTACGAGCATCTAGATCGTTTTAAATGCATCATTATAGGAACAACCGAGTCAAACTTATATAAGTAATAATACTATTTTTAATAAAATCTACCAATAACAAAAATACTTTTTAAAACTAATTGTCGCTTCCAGTCGTGTTAACTCAAGGATTTTAGCTCGTGGTAGTCATTGAACAGTTTTGTTTACTTTACTTTTTTATTATCGATAGAAAATTGATGTCAGTTATGAAGCTATTAGTTTTCCGCTTGAAGTAACATCGACAGTGACCGTTTTAAATCTTATTCACTTTTTGAATCAGGTATTGGTTGGTTCTGTACGATCGATTGTAAACCAAGAATCGAAGTTGATCACTAACGTTGAAATACCAAGAAATGTTTTCAATTTCGTACAAAGATTCTTAAAAGAGAACGGTATCATGAACGTCCCGTTTCAAAGCGTTTCGAAGTCGATTACGACATTTTATATTTAAACGAAACTGAGAGGAAAGTGTTAAGCTATCGGGAAATATAAACGGCATTTGGAGCATCGGTACATGAATTCTTCTTCTTCTTGAGCCATTTCGGCTGCACTTCTGATCATTAGCCTTTCTACCGACTTCAAAAAGGACACGGTACTCAATTCGACTGTATGTTTTTTAATGTGTGTTACCTCATAACTTTTTACTGGGTGAACCGATTTCGATGATTCTTTTTTTATTTGAAAGCTGGTGCTTCACATGTGGTGGTCCCATATAACTTGATCAAGGTGTGACGAATAGTTTTTGAGTTATGCTTAATAATTTATATTGAAGTCGGTTGTACAAAATTTTTAATTTTTATTATTATGAATACGTCTTTAAGGTAAAAGTCATCCATCCATTACAGCGTATTCCATCAAAGATTGCCTTCGCCTAGGGGAGATTCCGCCATAGTTGCCACGTTTGGCAAACTGGTTGGCAACCGCAGTTTTTTATAATTTTGAGCTGTTATCAGGAAGAAACCGCTGCCCATCTACTGTGAGTTTCTCTCTGTCATCTCTTACGACACCCATGGTACGATATCGGGCAATGGATATTCTTATATGAGGATAGTCTTAGAGGATAAGTCTTTCTCATGAACAGACTATTATTCAGCTTGCTAAGTACGCTTACCATCTTAAAGTACATTACCACTTACAACCAGCTGGGATAGTATTGGATACTATCATCACATAATTTTTATTAAACGTCAATTATGTATGTATGTTTGCCAAGTTATAATGCTACATAAGTTGATAAAATATAATGTCCAGTGTTAAGCTTCTTGTATGCTAGATTTGCTCATGAGTCTCTCTCTTCGCTGTTTTAATCATCTATTTAATCATTAATGATGAATTGCCATTTTTGTCACTGGCATACTGGCCACTAGGAATTCGTCGTCATGTAGCGCTTTCTAGCTCACGCATTTTAGTTTGAACTTTTGTAGTAAAACAGATTCTGTTTTTTTTTATCAAATAAAAGGCGACTCATACGCTAATTACGATATTATGTATAATAATTAATATGAAATACTATCAGGTTGCAACTTTTTCACTTAAATTAGAAAAAAATATAAAGGCCAATCGTCTGTTTGAATTTTACGTTACATGGCGAATTAATTTTATTTTTTTTAAATCTTAAATATTTTATCTTTTTCCTGAATTTAAGAACTTGGCACTACGTATTACCACTTGCATGAGTAAACTGATGATCAATAATTTTTTGTTAAAAATAATGCTCCAATTTTATTTTTTGTTTTTTTGCCTCAATAATGTCAAATAATAAAAAAAATAGTTTTGCTTAAAAAGTAAAATTCTTGGCTAGTCTATAAATCTGCAAACTCTTTCAACGTTCAAAATTAGTAAAGCGATCTTAAGCGCAAGGTTTTTGCTGAGTAATGTACTCTTTTTCTTTTTTTATTAATTTCACGTCTATTATCTTTTGCCTGATGCCCTATTGATCTTGAACTAAAAAGTGCTTGTACTACGTAGTTTTTATGTATCATATTATACAACTTTTTACAAAAGAAAATGTTGTTCATTTTGTTTAAAAACTGAATATTGCCATCTATGCGTGACGTCATTTAACGGGTCTCGGCTTCGACAACACTTATGAATAATAAAAGTCTTCAGCTGAAGAAGTTTTGAACTGCTAAGTTTATAATATCAAAATGTACGTGGTCTTAACCGAAACAAATTCATTGTACAGATTGAAACAAATTTCCGTAGAAAGCATGATTAGAAACTCTAATACTATGTAAAATATTGTTGAAGTTAAGAAAAATTTATATTATTGTTAACCTAGATTTATAACTTAATTATATACAACAATGAACAGCATTTAACTAATAACAAAAAAAAATCAAAAATCAAAAAATGTTTATTCTGTAACAATAAATTTACATCATCAGCAGTACACAAAGTTCTCCTTTTAAGTATTTTTCAATACTTGTGACAGGAAAACTCGCTCTTCCATAATTAACATACAATACTTGTAGTTACAAGAATAACATAAAATTCCTTTCCCTTTGATAAATTAATTTAAAAAGAAAAAAATATGTGTGTGTGTGTTTGTAGTCAGAAAAAACTTATGAGGTAGTACACATAAAAAATATTCAGTCGAATTGAGTACCTGCTCCTCTTTGAAGTCGGTAGAAAATACCAGAAGTTATTGCTGAACTATATGAAGAAATATAAAACAAACATAGTTTGATAACTTGGTACTTTGACTTGGCTAAGTTTATTATAAAATTTACGATCTTTTGAAGGGTAAGAATTCAAGTAATGAAATACTTTTTAGATCAATGCTCGACTGGCTAATTGAACTATAATGTATTGTATTATCAACATAATCTATTCATAATTGCAATTATTGTACATATTTATCTTGTTAAATACAAATTATTCTCTTCATTTTTTCAAAAGTCTTGTTAACTCGTATTACTTAAAACGCTATTAGATAAACTTAGAAAAACGCTGACATTCCTTTATTACCGTTTCTTTTTTTCTGTTGAGGTCTAGCCTCTAGTAGTAAATTTAAATGTGCATAGGAGCTTGAAGTAAGTCTGAACTAAATAAAATATTTATGATATAGACTTTTTTTCTAAAAAAAGTTTAATATTGCTTTTGTCTATCTGCTAATAATGTTCTGGGTATATCATGATTTACCTAAGATTTTCAATTGAAATCAAAAAATCTTCCCGGCATTTCTTATTCAGGATGAAATGGGTGGTGAGTTCTCAAAGCCACGTTCTATTATCCTCTGTTTATGTTCAGAAATAAGATGTATAAATACTCCTACTCTACTTCTCTTTTTCCTTGTTCACAGTCTCTCGATGGATTCGCACTATCTGTAGCGGCCGACGGGAGGTTCCTGTACATATCTGAAACTGTCTCAATATATTTAGGATTATCACAAGTAAGTATAATATTTTTCCTATTTTAATAGTATCTTATCAATCCTAGTCCTGTAAGATAGTTAAACTATCTAAGTGTTACTTAATCCTCTCTTTTCAAGTCTTAATCAACTTCTTCGTCTCTAAATATTAAAAAAGACAATATCGATTAATTCTCTCATTAAAATTATACATGAATTTGCTTAATTTCTTTTTCGAAACTCACGACAATGATAGGTTATACCAAATATGTCTTATTTGCTTGCTACCTTTGCTTTGTTGTGTGTTGTCAACATTATATTTAATTGTTTTATTAATAAATAAGATATTGACATTTTGTAAAGAGTGACAAAGTGAATTTATGCTACAAAAGTGAGCGATAGATTCGGCAAGGGATGCCCTAAACGGAATTTTATCAACTAAATTAGAGATATGTTGAAGAAAGACCAATTTCAAGACCGTGCCAATAGGAACTCTATAGTCTCTTTCTACGCATCTGTGTGACAGCGTGAGCTTTTATGTAACTATATTTGTTCTCAACAACTATTTCTAGACCTTCTACATTAACAGCTATATGTAGCTATGTATTTTTTCTCAACAACTGTTTCTAGACTATATGTAGCTATGTATTTGTTCTAACAACTGTTTCTAGACCTTTTACATTAAGAGCTATATGTAGATATGTATTTGTTCTCAACAACTGTTTTTATACTTTTTAGATTGATTATTACCTACAGTCGTATAGTTGCATCAAAGCATTAAATGTAGGCGTCTGAGGTTTACCTACGCACACCATTAAGTGCCACTCCATTCAAACACGCTCCAAGTTTCACATGGCACAACGATTTAATCAGAAATTTTCGGCGGCGCTGGATAGACATCCGGTGTAATGGCGGCTGATTGGAGATAAGGCTACACGTGTCGTGTTATGCTTGCTACGTGGGCAGACGTTTTTCAAAATAAAAGAAATAGCTTGGAAATGTCCTTCACACTGCAATAACTAAAATCATTGAACGAATTTCTACCAACATACGACGTACAAAGTCGTATCGTGTTTAACCGTGTAAAACGCACTAAGTTCTCAAAAGATCAGTCGAATTTCAATTAACAAGAATACTAGGTTAAAACGGGCTAAGTGATTCAAATTTTAACCGACTTAAAAAAGAGGGGTTCTCAACTCGACAATATGTCTTCTTTTCTTAGATTTTAACGATTCTTTTTATTAAGTAGGTTATATTTAAGGTATGGTCTTATATAAAATTGAAGAATAACTTCCAGCACTAAGAGTGAACTTAAATAGCTACGACTAGACTAGACTAGACTTCATTCTAGTTGTTACCTTGAGCTTGTGATATTCATCAGTCCTCTCACTCAATAATGTCAAAAAATAAAGAATAAAGATAGAACTAAAAATAAAAAAGTAGTTTCCACATAAAAGCGAGTAAGAGATGGTTATTGGTTATAAGATACGATACATACACATTCTGAAAAGGCGGCAAAAATATCGCTCCGTTATCTCAATATACGGCGGACTTCACAAGACCTTGAAACCATTTTAATTGCTTTAACATGCAGGTTTCCTCACGATGTTTCTGACTGACAAGCATGTCATAATTCAGAACTTAAAACTGCTATTAACATTACCATTAGTTGCCATGTAATGTAAATAAGAGAATCTACTACCCAATATTATCCTGTGGGTTTAGTAAAAGGCGACAGATGGAAATAAAATAGGACATGAGTATCACGGCTCCGTGGCGCAGTCGCTTAGCAATGAGTTGCTGCGCTGGGGGCCGCGGGTTCGAACCCCGCACGGAACAAGTAATTGTATGGCCTACAAATAATTGTTCCGGGTCCGCATGTTTGTCTTTGTGCAGTTTGTGTTTGTAAAGTGCCTCCACGATACAGGAGAAAATCGTATTGTGAGGGTAACGTTTTTTTTTAAAGAAATAATAAAAAACAGAGAACAATAACTTCCTGACAACAACTGAAAATAATTAAAAAGCTGCGGTTGGCAACTCGCCTGTTGCCGCAACTATGAGGTAATCTATGGGGGGGGGACTATGTTTAATAGTGTACTTTTGAAACGGTGCAATAAATAATCGAAAATTTAATTATCATTAATACTGAACCCCTGAGTCACCAAGGTTCAAATTAATTGAATAAAACTACTTTTACGGAAATATAGAAATATAAGAAATCATTAAGGTTCAAATTACTAGGAATTCGGTTGGTTAGTTTTCATTTAATTAGGCATCGGCACTGCATGTCTAACATGTGGTAAAATTAAAAATTTTGTACAACCGATTTCAATATAAATAAAATGAGAACATCATCAATAACTCTCAAAAACTACTGGTCAGATCTTAATCAAATTTATATGGGGCCACATGAGAAGCACCAGCTTTGAAATAAAAAAAGAAGCATCAAAATCGGTTCTTCTAGAAAAAAGTTCGGAGGTAACACACATAAAAAAGACAGTCGAATTGAGATCCTTCTCCTTTTTAAGTCGGTTAAAAATAAAATACCTAGACCAAGGACATGTGAAGTCCGCCAACACGCACTGGTGGTACGCAGCAGACTAAGGCCGTTACTCAGCTCAAGTACACGCACCTGAGTACAATCTTGATTATGATCTTATTAATAAACATATCTCAATCATTTAGGTTTACGATATCAGCTGAGTGCCACATTGATTAATAAACGAAACTCGACTCTCAAGTGTTGACAAATTCCTAAGGACAGCATTTTGAGAAACTGTTTTGATGTGTTTATTAATTAGCAACGATCTTTGAGATGTTGATATCGTAATGAGGGCGTATCAAATGATTACGCACTTGAGTTCGTCGTTGAGTAACGTTTATTAATATGGGCCTAACAGTCTCAGAATTGAGATACATATTAGATATTTATAACTTAGCTGTTTGCATTTTGTACCTACTACATCTTCTCTGCTTAGCCTGGAGGTAGATTGGTAGAGAATGCCCTGTTGCATTAAGTCCGCCTTTTTGTACTTAAATAAATTTTAAAACTTTAATAATATTTAAAAAAAAACTAATTTCACGGATTTTATCGCGTACATTTAAATAAAACTAGTTTTATATAAATGTGTAGTGTTCCCGTAAATATAATAAATCATTAAAGCATAAATAAATAAATTGAAAGAGAACATGTTGAGCAGTGGGATATTACTTTTTCACGTCTTGGTAACGCAAACACAACTATTTGGCTGCAGGAATAGTTAATTGGGTGGTACATATCAAGAGTCCTAGTGCTTACTAAGTCTTAGTATAAGATACAGTTCATAGATTTACGTAATGGACCACATAATATATCTTCTATTAAAAACTGAAACACAATACGTGATCACCCCAGAAAAGTAAAATGAACACCTCGTTATCAATAGAAATGAATGTGTCATTTACGAGCGGTTGAAATGAAACTTATTAGTATTAATATTTATTTCTGACGTACATTTACTTTTATTGTTATTATTGTTATTTACAAAAAAATATTTATAAATAAAATAATTATTATTATTGGTATTGATTCACGTCACTAAGCATACAAAGCTGGTATTCTGAGAGCGATCGTTCTTTCCCCGGTCGAGCACATATTCTTAAGTTTATTTTTTGTAATAGAAGCTATTGCAGACAGTGCCAAAACAAAAACTGAAAATACAAAAAACTTATGTAAACGAAATTAAACATTACGAAATTAAAGGGAGCCGGGAAAAGATCCGAAAACTGGAAAATACAAATCCAACATGGCTGTAGGGTGGTGCGAGTGAGACAGGGAATGGGGGGAAAGGGACGATGCGATATGCCAGTCACGTCCCGGGCAAGGCGCGCGCGTGATCCTCATCCAAATACGGACATAACCACTCACACACCCCCAAACACCCACACAAAGCCAAAATAATATCTAAACACCTAACACATGGACTTTCATAAGTCTTCTTCGTTGTTGCGTTAGTGTGAGTGAGCATAAAATACATAAACTTCCTGGTAAATAACCTTAGATACAACTTTCTTATAAGAGAGCACCGAAACGCTCCTATATTAAATTCTGTTACTGGCATTTTTTCGGAGCTAGACTGATGATAGCGCCGACAATGGGAAATCATATTTTCCTTTGTAGATATAGAAGAAAACGGACACTCTATTTTTTATATTGACGTGTTCTGACCTTTGTAGAAAATTATTTACGTGAGGCTTTTTGTTAGCGACCTGTCTGACACAGACATTTTGAAACTAAACATTTTGAAACAGTAATCCTAATTTCTGTGTTTTCAATCTCAAATAAATACTTTTTGTACAAAAATATTTATGCATATTTGATAATGAGAGACTTTCCTTTTGAAATTTCTTTCGTTGATGAAAATAGAGGATCAGTATTAGTAACAATAATAACTATAAGCAACGTTTGACCATTGACAACATAAAAATTAGTAAATGAATACGTATTAGTATTCAGTACAACACTTGGGAACACTAAAAGATAAACTTGAATTTTAGTAACAGAGAAAGAGGGTAGAGAATTTAAAGAAAACTTTTATTAGAGCAGTTCCTATACTCGAAGCCTCGCTGTGAAATCAATGTACTGAGAAACCAATTTCTACATAAGAGCGTGAAAACTCATACGGTAAAGATAAAAGCTTGGAATAAATGTCAAAGTAGCGCCTCATTTACAACAATTTGTGTCAGAAACTATGAAATTTTAATTTTTAACAAATATTATTACAAATTACCCATCGGAAATAAATCAAAAACACAACGACTTCAGTGGAGTTCTAGCTCAAGTATATTAAAAAAAAACATTAATGAGCATTACCAACATTAATAACGAAAGGAACGTTATCAACCGCCAACTACATTCGTCGTATGACGTCCAACGTCAAATCACCTGCCAACATCTTTAAATTTGTGGCCCATCAATCGGCGAATCGGTAAACACCATAAAATCCATAGAATCTTTCCCAGAAGCGACCACCGTAACGTCACCATTGTTTGTGGTATTCACATGCGAGTCGACACTGCGGATACGCGCGCACTGAATGCCTAATAGGGTCCCACAATTATATTTGATAAATTTATTTCAAGATACATTTGCATACGCCGTGAAAGGTTCAATGTGAAAGTCGCTTGACAACAGCCTGAAATCCGTTCGGACGTTTTTGGGGTGGTTAGAAATTGTTTTGTTTCAAATTGTTTCGTATTAATGAATTACACAGACATTGATTTAAAAAAAGAACAGAAGTACTTCTACTTTTATCTAATGTTTTCATCTATTAGTCGAACTTTGAGCTCCATTTACTCACTAATATCTTCAGCACTTAACTACACCAGAAGGAAGGCTTTGTTTTTCGTCACTCGGCACGCTCTGTAGCCTTAACAGTTTGATGGATTTTAACATGTAAGGTCGTTAGATTTTTCTTATTTGTTTCAATTTGTAGGAGTGACATAGGTTATATTGCAACTGCAAATACAAAAAGGTGAGGGGAATTTTTTTTCAGTAAACTTTTTAAAGCATGTCGGGTTTCTTAACTACGGTTTTAACCGTTAAGCTTGTTTGATTGTTTTTCTTTGTGAGTTTACCAAAATACCATTTAAATCGACCGAAACATGTATTCTCCTGAAGTTTCGTGATACGTTCCTTCAACACCAGCAACCGCTCAATCCTTAACAATTGTCCCGTCACCGGTTCCCTTGTTACAACCGTGTTTTATTGGTATTTCTATGAAGCCACCTGCTATGCGATGCTCGATAACAGCCCGTTCATTCATAACGATGACTGAGTACGTGACGGCTCCGCTTAATTACATTGGGCCTCTCAACAACATTGACTAGTCGAAATATTAAGCGATTCTGGTCTTTGTACTGTTCTAACAGTGCCGAAAATCGCATGCTAATTTTTGCGGTTGTATATTTTATTGTGGTGTACTGTATGTAATGTACGGTGACAAAAATGTATCTCAGAAAGCGCGATTTGGATCATCAAAATGTTCATTAAACTGGAAATTGATTGAAAAATTGGAATAGCCTGTGATAGAGATAAATATAGAAGATGATCACAAACTTCGGGATCACATAAGGTTTTTTGTTAAATTTAAAAATATCTTTTTAAAATTTTTACATTTTAAATTAATCTACAGGTTGTAATGATAGTGATGTTAGGATATTTTTAACTGTTTTGCATATTTCAACTTTTGTTAAATAATGCTTTCTCTCAAAATTATCAATATTTTAATATTTTAATGGTCAAAAACTCTAAGTTGCTTCTTATATTATCGATCCAGTCAATTTCGGTTCATCAATATCATCATTACAGCCCTTTACAAGTCCACTGCTGAACATATGCCTCCCCCATGGAACGCCATAAAACACGGTCCTGAACCACCTGCATCCGTCTTCTTCCTGCACGTTTTACTAGTTCGTCAAAGGTTCAGTTAAACTTTCTACTGTTTCTACCCTAAATGTTCTTAAAACTTAAGTTCGACATAAGTTTCATTTAAAAGTAAATGTTTATCCTTGACGTACTATTAAGGGCCGGCAATGCATCTGCAATTCCCTCCCTGGTGTTGCAGTTGTTCATGGACGGCGGTAGTCACTTACCATCAGGTGAGCCGCATGCTCGTTTGCCCCCTCTCCTATAAAAAAAAAACTATATCACTAATACGTATTTTTTTAGTATATTTTTTATAGTAAATAAAATTACGAATTTATTACCTTAAGGTATATGAGCTAAAATAAAATCTAAGAAATATTTGGTCCTCCATAGGTAGAAATGACGGGTAGCAGCATATTCGATTACGTGCATCAAAACGATCACGCAGAGATCGCAGAGCAGTTGGGACTATCACTGGCTGGAAGAGGGAGTACCACTGGCTTGAACAGCCCCGCATCAGGGAGCGAAGAGGGTAGCCAGCACGGCACCAATAATCCTGATGGTAAGTTTGAATAATAATTTTTAACATTTGTATTTGATAGATATCACCCTATTATCATTTAAACTCTATTTCGTCGCCGTAAGAGTGAATATCAAGCAAAGCAAAAAGCGACTATGGGATATACCATATAGACCTTATTGGTTTCCAATAAGTTCTATATGGCGATTTACCATCTTGCTTACCTAGTAGTGGCAGTGTAAGAATATCTACTACCCAATATCACCCCATGGCTGTTGTAAGAGGCGACAGAGGGCAACAAATCAGGGGATGGGCAGCAGCTTCTTCATAATAACGACTAAAAATAAAACTGCGCTTGCTAACCCACTTTCCAAGCGTGGCAACTATGGCAAATATTCCCCCTATGAGGTAATCTATGGGTGGCCTATTTTCAGCAGTATACTTTAACCTTGCTTACGCCATGCGTAAAATTTAGACCGGCAAATAAGGGATGAAAAGTGCGGTTACGGCAAATCCTTCGATGCTTTTATAGTCCGATGAAGAATAAGAAGGTAACTAAACGGCGTGAACTACATATTACGCAAGAAACCCGGGTTCGATGCTTGCCAGTACCATGTAAATTGTAAATTGCAACTTTAAGTGCCGATAACTAAAGTGATTTCCGCATGTCGGAACTGTATAACATTTCTAGAACATATAAAATCCGCCAACACTTTTGACGAACTTATTATCCCGCAACCCTCTTAGAAACGGGAGTGCAGCAGTGTGAATTTTAAAGGTTGTATCTTGTCATTATGTTACAAGACTATCAAATGTTTTTGTTTGTCGGCTTAGTTTTGACTCCAAATAACCTTTTCATTCATTGTTCTGTAACACGATTGTTTTACCTTATTCCTTGCAGGTACACAGAAGCTAATACTTTCGACATTTGCAATATATCGTACCTGTTTGTTATGTTCCCAAAAAAAAAATCAGAAGATACATTTTAAAGGAAATTTTGAATATCATTATAATATTCGTCATTATTGTCAAACATCACAAATTCATTGCTGAACATAAACTTTATTCATAAGATGCCACAGAACGCGGCCCTGAGCAGTCTAATTCCTCTAATTTACCGCGTGCTTAGAATATGAAAATAATAAAAATTTGTAAGATATACTTTTAAAAAAACCTCGACAACGATAAATAGTTTCATTCTGGTTTCCATTTTGTAAAATGTTAATATAACTCGGTAAAATTACCTCTGACTGCTAAAACTGATCTATTAACAAATACCTATAACATTTTATAGAACAACATAGCATATTTAAATAAAACTAATTTTACGGATTTTATCGCGTATATTAACTTATTTTATGTTCCCGACGCTTCGAGCACTTTTTTATTAATTTTTGTTGTAAAGTGCTCGAGGCACTTTACAGCACCCATGGTCACGGGCGAGACTGAGGTGTTTGACGTACCAATGTCATAGTTAACTACGGCTACCTCCAGATAAAAATTACAACAAAAACAACAAAAAATAATACATATATATGTGTGTGTATATATATATATATATATATATATATATGTATGTATATATATATATAATTAATTAAAATCGATAAAATCCGTAAAATTAGTTTTATTTAAGTGTGTAGTGTTCACGTAAATAGAAATCATTATGACAACATAACATAGTGCATAATTTACAGTGTTAAAAATATTTACTTTACCTTAGTTTTGTCATAATCCGTTAAAATATCTGTTTGATTTCCCCTGTCAGGAAATATTTTCCCTATTTATTGTGCCAACAAGGTTAAATGTATAAAGCGTTTATTGACCCACTGTTAACATTTTTCCTGTACAGCTCGAAGTAAACAATTTAAAAGTGCATATATTTTAATACTGATTTGTAGAGATACTAACAGTATTTTCCATAATGATATAAAGTAGTTTATTAATTTACAATACGGCAAATAGGACTAAGTAAAGTAGCCAACTACCCTCAATTTTCTCTCGCAGTAGCAATTATTGCCTTTATTAACATAACTTGTAACAATACCTATACAATATATTTTTACAATCGAATTCAAATAACTAAAATTATAATTTTCCTATTACGTAGCCCCGATAAAAGTGTAATATATCCTGCATTATTTATAAATACTGCACTATTCACGGTTCCGTTTTGCTACAATAATTGTAACTATTATTCTGTTGACATTATTTTATATGTGGTAGAGCCATGTTGCGGCAGTATTATGGGGTAAGTTCGCGCTCTCACAGTATACACCGAGAGATCCTTTTTACTGGAAAAGAGGCATTCCATCTTAGTCCTCACGGCTGACAACGCATCTGCATTTTGTTTCGCAAACGTGGATAGATGTAGATGTCTATGGGCCACAGCAACCACTTACCATCAGGTAGACTGTGTGCTCGTTTGTCACACTATTTCTATTTAAAAAAAAAGAGTCAGATATGGGCGCCTTTTTCCTAAGACGGTAGAAGTTCATGCCCAGCGTGGTCTTCTACGGGTTGATGATTTTTTTAAAGTGGTTAATTCATTCAAACCCGACTACATTACGACTACAAACAATTATAAAATAAATGAACAACTTGAAATATCTGAAACATTATTTCCAATTCAATATGGTGCAGATCGCGAACTCAAATGGTCGTGGGTTCGAATCCGCCATTTGACTACTGTCGTAACACATGCATTTTGAACTAAATATGAGTGGTTACAGGGAATATTTGTAATGTGAATAGCATTGCTACTATTAAAAAAAATTAAATTCATTTCAGTCTAGACAAGCTACGCTAGCTTTAACCGTTGCCTATAGAACAAAAAAAGTGTGAAAAGAAACGAAAAACCCGTTACATCATAAACGAAAGCAAAAAAACTACACAGAATTCAATTAAAGTTTCCTCATCTCAAACACTGCTGCATCTACTTCAATCAGCGACAGTACTGATTCTAAAAATTTCACTCGGTACATCGAATCGCTGAATGCGGCCTATAATAAGCAGTATACCAAATTTAAATTAGATTATGGACTCTTCACGGCGTGTTGCACCTTATGAAATGGTCAATGGGGAGTCACTACAGACTTTTATGCTATTGATTAATATTTCTCACCGCTATGGGAATGCGTTTAAGGTTTTTGAAACTTGGATCGCGTTCTGTGCCCAATTGTCAACAGATGGACTTAGGGAGCCAGACTTAATTGTGTTATTGGTCCAGGAATGAAATTGCTGGTTTAATTAAACGTTTTAATTGACAAAAAGTCAATTTGACAAAGAAATTTAAAGTACGCCCAAACTGATAACTGTAGGAATATTCAATGTTATTCCTTGATGATTTTCTTATCACACAATAATTTGAATTAAAGACGTAAAATTTTGCTGCGTGGTGACGATTTAAGTAAATACGTACTTCGTTTTATCATGAGTGTCGTAAAAATCAGTACGTAGAGAACAGAAGAACCTCATGATTAATCGCACCAGACGTCTGCAGTTGGTTTGCAGTTGTGCGGGCATCACCGAAAAACTACTGGATAGATTTCAATTAGGTTTTTTAAGTTTTATTTCTTAGACACTTGGCCCTTATCTAAAAAAAAATATTGCGATATTTTCATTTAATATAAAGTTATTGAAGTTTTAAGAAACAAAGATGTTTATATGCACTACGTGTTCAGCGATGTGTATAAGCAACGCGGACGAAGGTCGCGGGTATCAGCTAGTTAGTACTTAATTTCTAGATCCTAAATATCCAGTGATCATGATGGGCAGCCATGCTTTTAAATACATTCGAATGGGTCGGCTCGGCCGGGGAAGGACCACGCTCTCACAGAATACCAGCGTCAAATAGCAGCTTAACACTGCTGTGTTTCGTATGGTGAGTGTAGAGAACCGGAGACCTTTTTTACTGGAAACGAGGCATTCCATCTTAGTCCTCACGGGTGACGACGCATCTGCATTTTGAATATTTATTGAGGATAGATGTACATGTCTATGGGTCACAGCAACTCACTTACTATCAGGTGGACTGTGCGCTCGTTTGTCACCCTATACTATAAAAAAATCGCATTAATTATGCGTGAGAGAGCCATGCTGCAGCTATATTATGGTTGAAGCACGAGTAGTCGGCTCGACCGGGTAAGGTCCATCCAGATCTAGCAGAATACCAGCGTAAAATAGCAGCTCAGTGCAGCCGTGTCTCGTTTAGTGAGTGTAGAGAACCGAAGACTCTTTTAACTAGGTACATTCTATCTTAGTCCTCAGGGGTTATAACGCAGATGCATTTTGATTCTTAATCAAGGATAGAATTAAATGTCTATGAGCCACGGCATCTACTTGTGCTCAGGTGGGCTGTGTGCTCGCTTGTCACCTTTATTATATAAAAAAAAATGTCATAAGAAAACCAAAACAATGTCGGAACATATAACTGTGAAATTAGTAATAATAATAATAATTATTATTATTAGTTAGCTTCGTCTTTTGTAATGCGTACAGCAAAGGAGTGGAATAATTTGCCGGCGTCTATCTTTCCGTTCGGATACAATCTGGGCGTCTTCAAGGCAAGAGTGAATAGGCTTTTGTTACGCTAAGACAGTGCGATTTACCATCTAGGGCTGCATCACCACTTACCACCAGGTGGGATTGTGGTCAAGCACTGGCTTATAATAAGTAAAAAAAAAATAGAAAAAAATTAATACAGTAGTAATATGAGTGCATTTTTTCCGTCGTTAAAATATATCTATCTAAGCGTCAGTAGCCTAATGACAGGCCGCGGACCGCGAACTCGAAAGGTCGTGGATTCGAATCCGCCATTCGACTATTGTCGTGAACCACTTCTAACACAAGCATTTTAAACTTACCATATGTTTAATAACATTACTAGTATTTAAAAAAAAATGTCGCGTATTATATCATATTTCATAATGTTATCGCAGGTTGTAACACTTCTTTAGTGTTAAAGACGTCTACACCGTTATAAATTATTCGTTTATAATAAACTTACCATAGCCTGTCTGTAGATTACATATCCTACATTA